CGCCGCCCGCACTCACCCAGCCGCCTCCGAGCCCCGCCATGGCGACGCCGCCGTCCCGCCCCGCGGGCGGCCGCCGCTCCACTGCGCAGGCGCGGTGCGAGAGGGTTAGCACCGCCTCCCCGTCCCGCGACGTTACTCCGGCGAGGCCCGGTGGGAACCCTCAGCGGTGACCCCGCCGGGAAAATGTGCTGAAAAAAGGGCAAAACACCACAAAAGCAGAGAGGTGTGAGAGAAACTGGCCCTGAGGTGAAAGGAGGAGGTGTGGGGCAGAGGCTGTCCGGCAGAGGGTGGCTGTGGAGAGGAGCAGGGCCTGCGCAAGGGGAGGGCCGGGCCCTGTAGCCCTGGGGTAAGGCCAGCAGGACTGCTGGGCGCCCTCTGCTCCCCTCCTGAGAGCCAGCCCTTGCTAGAACTCTTTACTGGCAAGTTTGGTCCAGCTCTGAGGCAGAAAGAATTCGTAGATGTGAGCAAAGGACACCCTCGAGTAGCTGCTCGTGCTTTATTTTCTCCGTACCTTGTGTTCTTCCAGCAGTTCTTCTGCTTGAGTAACTTCCTTAACAGCTCTGATTCCACCTAGATCGTTTTGTCTTTCCACAGCTAAAATCACTTCTGCAGCAGCTTGCTGCCTCACCCAGTCTGGAAGAATGAAGAGAGGCGGTTTGGGAGCGAGGAGGCGTGAGCAGCAGCAAACATGAGGCGTGAAGAGATGGAGACTGATGTTTGGAAGTCGGACGCGGGGCAGGAGTGTAAGCCGTGATGCTGTCGGATGCGGGCGAGAGGTTCGCATCCTCCCAGCGAGCCCTGCCGTCGCTCCCGCAGCTCCGTGTGGGTGCGGGCGTCTGTGCTGAGAGACCCCACTGTAGGAGTGAGCGTGGAGTCTCCCAGGGTGTTATTTATTCTAGTGACTCCCTCGCAGCAGCGTTTGGAAAGTAAATTAGGCTTTTTTTTTTTTTTTTTCCTGGTCCTGTGGGTAGTAGGCATTGAGGAATTTCAAATGATGGTTACTGTTCAAATCAAACTCCCTCTCTGTTTTACCCAGGTAAACGCAACCGATCTTTCCAACTATTTTTCTAACTTGTTTTAGTGTTGTTTAATTATATTTAAAAGGAACCATGCTATTAGTGGGAGAATCCTACAAAGGAAGATTAAGGCACAAAGACTTAAAATCTTTTAAGATTAGTGGCTCCCCCATGATCTGGTTGCAACAGAATCTATATTTAGTTTCTAGCTCTCCTAGTTGGTAAGTGAGACCCTGACACCTGGTGTGGTTTCTCCATAGAAACCTGTCTGTGTCTGCAGACAGCTTGAAAAAAACAGCTGAGAGCACTCTGGTAATTCCTGTCCGTGTTAATCCCCAGATTCCTGCTGTAGCACTCCTGTCAGTCACAGGGCGGCATCTCACGAGCTGTAAACCCATCGGGAAGAAGATAGACAGGACAACCTCAGCAAAGATGCAGTCTGACTGCTGGGTAAATACCTTTTTTCCCTGAGACTGAGGGAACAATGACATTTGCAGCTGGGCATGGGTGGCTTGTCTTGGTACGTCTGCAGCATGGCATCACCTTATTCTGACTCGAAATAGAAGATGCTGACAGATTAAAATTTGCCAGTTTTTATGGTTATTGCTATACCAGCTGTAGCACAGCGATACCTGGTGGCAGTGTGAAGGTAAATGCAATGCAAATAAGCTGGGTTTCAGTTAGCTTTGGTCTGAGTGATCCCCTTTTGGTAAAACAACCAAAAAATAGGGATAGGAAGTAAAGATGTTACAAGTTTCAGGCCAGGGAGCTACCCAGGCCTGGAGTTGTCCTTTAAAGTAGAAGACCAGGGAGCCCCATCTCAAATCTGGTGGTCGTCACTGGGATTTTGGGCTGCTGTAAAAATTCCCACCTAGGAGCAAGTTCCCTGAAACCCAAAACAGGATTTCAATCCCTTATGTTTAAAAATACACTTTTGTCTGAGCTCGTTACAATGGGCAGCCTGCTACATGAACAGCCTATTTCTTCTTTCAAGTTGCAAGAAAACAGGAGTACTTCTGGAGAGTTACTCAGATTCAAGGACTACTGCCATTTTTTCTTAAAGACAAAAGGTTTAGGCAATATCAGTATTGTTTGCCGTAGCAATATAATGTTTTTCAGTCCTAAATGAAAGACGCACCTGTCACAGATTGCTAAAAAATGCAATTAAAGAGCCAGCAAAACAAGGTGGTCTTCCCCTTTTTACTAGGGAAGAGAGAAGACTGTGGGAAGTGAGGCCCTCGTGGAAAAGCAGGCCAGGCCAGCAGAGAGCAGTATTTTATCAGGAACACCATTTCCCCAGGGATGGGGCAAAACAGTACACTCTTTATTTTTCATATATCTTGCATATATGTTCATAAACAGTGCTGCAGTTAGGGTTAGAGATGCCAAAGAATGGGAATGTAATGCTGGGGCAGGGCAGGGGGGTCCTCCTGTGAAAAGCATCATTTATGTGCGTGGGCAACAGTTCTCAGTCTGTTCTTGGAAACCCGCTTGCCTCATCTAGGGCCCTGGGAGGGAGTGTACGTGGTTTAAAAGGTTTTGTGTGTGGTCATTCCTAGGATTAATTCAAGCCATATAGTCTGAGGTGTATAACAATTTTTCAAGTATGATGTCTACGTATTATATATCTTTCTTGCATGTGCACATTTAGATTTGTAGCTTGGTATATTATATATATCCTACCTGAGCTAGAATGCAGGTTATTTGGGAAACGATCTCTGTTACTCCAGTGGTGTAAGAACAATTGTGCTGGATGTCTTAATGAGAATTAATAAATAATGATCAAAGACAAATTGTACAAATATGAGAAACTGTGTAAAAGGTTATTTCATCAGTTTGGTCATGACTATTGCAAACAGTAACAAGATTATATTATAGATATAAATACAAGGTCAGTATTTTTGGCATAGTGTACCCATGAACGGCACACGATTGGTATGTTGTTTTGTGCAAGCCAGGTAGTAACATATGCCAAATTACACAAAATGCTCCATCTCCTTGCATCCTCAGAGAGGCACACAGGAGTGCAATCAGCTGACATGTGGCCAGCGATAGAGTTTGGCTGAAACTAGTTACTGGTTCAATAGTTTTGGAGGGGCAGCAGGTGAGCAAAACAATCACATAAGCCTCCTGTTCTGAGGAAATCAGGATCAAAACATGCCTTTGCCACATTCACATGTAGGTGCTCCACTGACTGCTTTGCTTTTCTAGTTCTGTCTTTGCTTTTCTAATGATGCTCCAGCGATTTCTGTGGTCTGAAGTAGTATGTCTTTTTGTCTTCTGGAATTTTTTTTTGAGCTAAAGGTATTGTGTGGCAATAAGTTCAAACACTGAAGCACTTCAGAGTCAGGCTAAGTAAGTATATTTTGCTCTTGCTCTGCAATATAGTAGGGTGTGATAGATTATTTTAGTGGCTTTGCATTGGATTTGTCTAGAATAAATGCTGGATGGGCTCCACCACGTTTTGTGATCGTATCACAGAGGGTGTCTCCCAGGGGATGTCACTGATGCTTTTGTTAGTGGTTGTGACTGTAGCACCACAAAACAAAAACCGAGCAGGTCTCTGCTGTTCCTCACTGCTGTTCGCAAGCCATGTGCAGAAATGAGCTGTAATTTTGAAAATGCTGCCTCAACGTGGTCTTTTTGGTGCCCTACAGGCTGAAGTTCCTCACAAATTTATCATGACCTACATAATTGACCTATATTATGTGTCTATTTGTTAAATAGGTTGCACTAATTAGAAACATGAATGGGGATGGCTTAGCAGTTATTTATTTATACTGAGGTGTGTGCCTGTCATCTGCAGTGACGTATGGGAGGATCATTTCCAGATTTTCCCCCTCTGCCCCCTCCATATTTGACCCGTGCCTTGTATTATTGCAATAAAACCTGAATTGATTCTGCTTTCAGAGAAAAAAAAGTGAAATTGTTTTTATTGCTCTTCTAGGCAAGGGGATATATCCTCGTGCATGTCTATATGAAAGAAAATTAAGCGTGAGGGAGAAAACACAGCAAAATTTTCAAGCTCTTGACTTGTAGGGCAGTGAGTAGGGGCCGAGCGTGTTTTGCACTTCGGTCGCTCTGTTGAGACGCATTTCTAGGCTGGGAAACAGCATCACTACACCCTGCTGATATTTTAACATTTTATAATAAATGGGCTTATTCTGCCTTGCACTTGTGCCTCACTTACAGAGTGTAGGAACTGTTTGAAATCTAGGGTGACGTTGAAATGTGGTGAGTTTGATGGAATTGCACCTGCTCTCAGCAAGTATGAATTTTGCTTTTAATGTTTTAGACCGAGTTCCAAAGCCCAGCTGATTGGCCTCTAGGGGCAGATGTGGATCATGGCTTTAAAACAGATGTCTGCTACTACAAACCCTAGCAGTTGTATTAACAACGCTGTCAGGCGGTTTCCACTGCTGTGTCCTCATTCATACAGACAGGGTGTGCAGAGTGTAATCTAATTAAGGAGAATTCCCCATATTTTTTTCATGTCTGCTATCAGTGCGCTTTTAACTTCTCCAAATTCATTAGAAATGCATCCATCTGTGGCCTGTCACATAGCACTGTGTTGAATATTATCCGTAATTCCTTCAAGAAGCTTGTTTTGAAAAAAAATGGGCAGGGAGGATGAGTGAAGTGAAAACAAATTGCTACCACGTTTAACTGATCACGATTTCAGGAATTGTTCCCCATGTTAGGCATGGGTTTCCAGGCAGTCAAAAATGTATGTTCTACCAGTGAGCATGTGGGCAAAGCATTTGTTCAAATATGTGTACTATTAATTAGCTAAACTGATTGTCAAGTGGCATAGGTTTGTCTAGATGAATAGATAGTCCGTGCCTTGACCTGGCTTTTGTTAATAAAGATTTTTATGATCTTGTCATAATCTTGGAGTCAATTGCGAATATTCTGAATGAGAAGAAAGTCCTTTCTCACCTTATCATTCTGCTTCCTCTGCAGAAAATTGATCCCAACCTCTCCTGTAGAGCTTTTGAGAGCTATTATGATGTATGACATTAAGGTTCAAAAAAGCAGCTTTTGGTAAAAATGCTCTGGTTTTAAAAACCATGTTGAGCATGATATTTGAAACTTAGAATAATTTAGCTTCAAGCTGACCTCTTGAGGTTCCCA